GTGTGCGTGTGCGTGTGCGTGTGTGTGTGTGTGTGTGTGTGTGTTTGTGTCTCACATCTCAGCGTTGCTCAGGTTTCTGGCCTCGATGATGATCTCCTGCAGTAATACAGACACGTCATCTGAACGAGAGACAGAGAGAAGGACGTTACACAGCCAATCAAACCGCTTCATTTTCATTCACATCCAAAAATGCCTGTAAACCTTCTTTAATGTCGACATGCTTTAATGAAACAGCTTTTGATTTCTATTATGTGACTGGAATCTGTTTATGAGTCTGATATTATTGCTGTAACCTTTATTGGTAAACATTTACAATGAGTTTACACTTTAATGCATTAACTAACAATGTCCTGCGCTATTGAATAATCTTTGTAAAACTGTTTTTTGTAAAACAACTGCTCATTGTTAGCCTGTTAGCTCAGGTCTATTCAATAATATTAACACTTTAATAATATATTATACAACTATATTACACAACTTTTGACTTTAACTATGTATTAGTGAATCTTAAAATTAAGAATTGACAAAATTAGCTAAGATTTATAAATGCATTAGAAGTATTTTTCATTGTTAATTGTCAATGTTAACTAATGCAGTGCAATTCAATTTAATTAATTTCATTTCAGTGCAATGCAATGAAATTAAATTAAATTAAATGCTATTAAAATCAATTATATTTATTTCAATGCAATGCAATGCAATTTAATTCAATTCAATGCAATTAAATTCAAGGCTGTTTTATTCAATTCACTTAATTTGAATGCAATGCAATCCATTTACATATATGGTTTATATATATAATATTCATGTAGCAAATTTACTTTTAAAATAATAACTTTAACAGCTATTAATAAATGTTATTAATCTAAGATTAATAAATGCTTCTTTTCGTTGTTAACTCGTGCAGTTAACTCATGTTAACTAATGGAACGTTTTTGTAAAGTGTTACCACTTTATCCAGCATTAAACTACTAAATAACTTGATTAAAGACTTTATAAAGATGCATCACCTAAAACAGCAGCCTGAAACAAACTACAGATAACAGGCTACTAATTAACATTAACCAGCATCATATGGCCTTCGTGACATCAGTAAAAATGATAATTGTTTCAGAGGTGGAGAAATCTGTTAAACACTGAAGAAAGATTATGAAAAGACAGGTTTTTCTTTGTTAACAGCGTCACTGATGAATCATTGACAGTCAGATCAGGAACATGAATTACGATGTAAACAGAGTCAGTGTGGATTCACGCTGACATTAAGATGCGTTCATGACTCACCGAGGTGCGTGAAGAGGTTTTTAGCCACTTGCAGCAGAGCCTGAGGAACAATACGACAAATAAGAGTCAGAAAACAACCATGTGTGTGTGTGTGTAGAGCTTTATTGTGTGTGTGTGTGTGTGTGTGTGTGTGTGTGAGTGTGTGTGTGTGTCTGTCTGTCTGTCTGTCTG